TTGCAGTACCTTGACTGCGGTACTAGACTATATAGTGTTGCAGTACCATGACTGCGGTACTAGACTATATAGTGTTGCAGTACCATGACTGTGGTACTAGACTATATAGTGTTGCAGTACCATGACTGTGGTACTAGACTATATAGTGTTGCAGTACCATGACTGTGGTACTAGACTATATAGTGTTGCAGTACCTTGACTGCGGTACTAGACTATATAGTGTTGCAGTACCATGACTGCGGTACTAGACTATATAGTGTTGCAGTACCATGACTGTGGTACTAGACTATATAGTGTTGCAGTACCTTGACTGCGGTACTAGACTATATAGTGTTGCAGTACCATGACTGTGGTACTAGACTATATAGTGTTGCAGTACCTTGACTGCGGTACTAGACTATATAGTGTTGCAGTACCATGACTGTGGTACTAGACTATATAGTGTTGCAGTACCATGATGTGGTACTAGACTATATAGTGTTGCAGTACCATGACTGTGGTAATAGACTATATAGTGTTGCAGTACCATGACTGTGGTACTAGACTATATAGTGTTGCAGTACCATGACTGTGGTACTAGACTATATAGTGTTGCAGTACCTTGACTGTGGTACTAGACTATATAGTGTTGCAGTACCTTGACTGCGGTACTAGACTATATAGTGTTGCAGTACCATGAGTGCGGTACTAGACTATATAGTGTTGCAGTACCATGACTGTGGTACTAGACTATATAGTGTTGCAGTACCTTGACTGCGGTACTAGACTATATAGTGTTGCAGTACCATGACTGTGGTACTAGACTATATAGTGTGCAGTACCTTGACTGCGGTACTAGACTATATAGTGTTGCAGTACCATGACTGTGGTACTAGACTATATAGTGTTGCAGTACCATGACTGTGGTACTAGACTATATAGTGTTGCAGTACCATGACTGTGGTACTAGACTATATAGTGTTGCAGTACCATGACTGTGGTACTAGACTATATAGTGTTGCAGTACCATGACTGTGGTACTAGACTATATAGTGTTGCAGTACCTTGACTGTGGTACTAGACTATATAGTGTTGCAGTACCTTGACTGCGGTACTAGACTATATAGTGTTGCAGTACCATGACTGCGGTACTAGACTATATAGTGTTGCAGTACCATGACTGTGGTACTAGACTATATAGTGTTGCAGTACCATGACTGTGGTACTAGACTATATAGTGTTGCAGTACCTTGACTGCGGTACTAGACTATATAGTGTTGCAGTACCATGACTGCGGTACTAGACTATATAGTGTTGCAGTACCATGACTGTGGTACTAGACTATATAGTGTTGCAGTACCTTGACTGCGGTACTAGACTATATAGTGTTGCAGTACCATGACTGTGGTACTAGACTATATAGTGTTGCAGTACCTTGACTGCGGTACTAGACTATATAGTGTTGCAGTACCATGACTGTGGTACTAGATTATATAGTGTTGCAGTACCATGACTGTGGTACTAGACTATATAGTGTTGCAGTACCATGACTGTGGTACTAGACTATATAGTGTTGCAGTACCTTGACTGCGGTACTAGACTATATAGTGTTGCAGTACCATGACTGTGGTACTAGACTATATAGTGTTGCAGTACCATGACTGTGGTACTAGACTATATAGTGTTGCAGTACCATGACTGTGGTACTAGACTATATAGTGTTGCAGTACCATGACTGTGGTACTAGACTATATAGTGTTGCAGTACCATGACTGTGGTACTAGACTATATAGTGTTGCAGTACCATGACTGTGGTACTAGACTATATAGTGTTGCAGTACCTTGACTGCGGTACTAGACTATATAGTGTTTGCAGTACCATGACTGTTGTACTAGACTATATAGTGTTGCAGTACCATGACTGTGGTACTAGACTATATAGTGTTGCAGTACCATGACTGTGGTACTAGACTATATAGTGTTGCAGTATCATGACTGTGGTACTAGACTATATAGTGTTGCAGTACCATGACTGTGGTACTAGACTATATAGTGTTGCAGTATCATGACTGTGGTACTAGACTATATAGTGTTGCATTTCCATGACTGTGGTACTGGGTTTAATATAACAGGTGTCCTGACTATGTAGTGTTGCAGTACCATGACTGTAGTACTAGACTATATAGTGTTGCAGTACCATGACTGTGGTACTAGACTATATAGTGTTGCAGTACCATGACTGTGGTACTAGACTATATAGTGTTGCAGTACCATGACTGTGGTACTAGACTATATAGTGTTGCAGTACCATGACTGTGGTACTAGACTATATAGTGTTGCAGTACCATGACTGTGGTACTAGACTTAATATAACAGGTGTAATGACCATATAGTGTTGCAGTACCATGACTGTGGTACTAGACTTAATATAACAGGTGTCCTGACCATATAGTGTTGCAGTACCATGACTGTGGTACTAGACTATATAGTGTTGCAGTACCATGACTGTGGTACTAGACTA